AACTTTAGATGACTGTGACAAACTCCCCTTTTCCTGTGAGTTTGCCACGAGTTTTTGGAGGGGCCTGTTTGCCAGTCTCCTACCCTGTGACTATGGCCCCTGAAATAGACCTGGCTAAAATGCTTTAAACAGGCTTTGTTCATGTAATTGGGACTATATGGTTCATTTGCCAAACCGCCGCACGAACAGGAGACCACCCTGAAGCTTGTTAAGCTTAATTGATACATTGTTGCAATTTCCACCGCAGTGGTCTAAGTGTTCGTTTGAGTGGCTGCAATTCCTATGGCCGACCACGATGTAGCGGTCATCTTGTTCGAATGGACCAAAACCGAGAATAGACTTCAGGGGACTTAGCCACGAATGCCCTGGAACAATTTTCGGCATGAAAACTTTGTGGTTCCCGGTCGGTCCTCCAGCGGCACTTAGCCGGAATTCTATGGAACTATTTTCGGCTATGGGACCATGCCTGCGGTCGGTCAAATAAATGACTTCCAGGAAATTCCTGAACCCCTGAACTGATTTGGGTGATTTTTGGATATGTCGGTCACCTAGATAAGGGCTATCAGGGGATGTAACATTTGTGGGGTTTTGTGTATTTTTGGGGTACTTTTGGGGTGTTTTGGGAAAGTATGTTTTTAAGATATTTGGATTAGAATTAGTTATTGATCCAAATTTCTCCCAAGCAGGGAGGAGGGATTGTATGTTTGTTATGTAAGTGTCTGGCATTTAATCACTGCTCTTATTGGTCTGTGTCTTTTTATTGGAGTCCCGAACAATTTATTTGAGTCCCTGTACCATGTGGGCGTACCCATTGCATGGGGATTGTCATAAAAGGCCAAGTGTGGCTCCCATTAAATTGAGATTTGTTTACCTCTTCATGAAGTCTTGGCTCATGTTTGGGGGATTGGGGAACTACATACACTCTGGGGATTGCTATATCATAAATACTTCCCTGAGTATAATCACTAGCTCTTATAAGAGCTGTTACTGCTACGCTCTCTGGACTAGGAGAGGTCTAACCACTGGAAGCTTCATTAAGCTAAAGTTGTTTTGGTGACTATAGTGTCCCTTTAATGACTGAAAAATAAAATAGTACTCTATAGTACTCTTTAGTAATCTCTCTTTTTTCCACCCCAGTGTAGCATTGCTTAAATGATTCATACATGTTTAAGATTGCATTGCAATTAGGCCACCAAAACAAGTCTTCAGTATATGCTCAGCCTTCCTTAAAGGGACACTATAATCAACAACATTATGTAGTGGTTCTGGTATATATAGCATGTCTACCAGAGAAGATGCAGTGTTTGAGTGACTGCCACTAGAGGTGTTACTAGGCAGCAACATAGACGGCCACTAGAGGTGCTTCCTACTTCAGTGCTACATTGTGTATAACACTTGCATTCAGTGTTTCCGTGCTTAAACGCTAAACGCTCGAGATTGCATTGCAAGTTGCATTGATTCAATGGATCTATGTGAGGAGATACTGATTGGTCCAGCGCAATGTTTTGCCTTTGGGAAAGCATTGGATTGGCTGAGATTAGTGATCTCAGCCATGAAGGCGGGGCCAGCTATGGCAAGACCAGCACAGTGATTGAGAAAAGGTAAGTAAATCGCAAAGTGAGACCAAGTGATGTCTGGTACACAAAATAAATTACTGCAGTAAAGTCACAGTGCAGCAGAGACACACCCTGGCAATCAGACTACCTGGCTTGCACAGCCACACACTCTCTCAACCTCCCCTCTTCAAAAAAAGAAACAAAATGCAGAAGAAAAAAAAAAGGCAAAACACACACTCTCTCTCCCTGGAACACACACTTAAAAGCAATGTGGCTCCCCAAGTTTGCAA